GCAGCCTCGGCGATTCTGGGATTCTCTAGCGCCTCCAGAGCATGTCACACACTGCGGAATGGAGAGAGGCCGTGGGCGCTGTGTTACAAGTAGAGAAGTTGCCCATTTGTTTAGAAGGTTGCAGAGTTCACAGGCTGAGCCAGTTGCTGCCAGGGTGGAGTTCTAACTGTTGTTGTAATCACCTGTTGTTAATAGTTTTTCGTTAACTACCTGTTGTTGATGGTTGGCAATTCCCCTTTTTTTGTCGAGTAACACCCTGCCGCTTCCCGGAGGATGGCACCCAGGACGGTGAAGAGGAGAAGAGTTGGCATGCGAACGAAGAAACCTTTCACCAAACTTTCACTGTGCAGCCCCCAGAGCCCGGCTGGGCAGCAGCCCAGGCTGGAGCCACTGGAGTCAGCTGGCAGTGCCCAGTGCAGCCAGGGAGGGATGTGACCTCACAGCCACACACTTGGTGTGTCACCCTCCACCAGCAGGTGACTGTGACGGTGATCACAGGGGTCCCCAGGGTGAGGGAACAGACGAGGATCTGGCTCCATGTTTCAGAAGGCTTGATTTATTGTTTTAGGATATATATTACATTAAAACTATACTAAAAGAATAGAAGAAAGCATTTCATCAGAAGGCTAGCTAAGAATAGAATAGGAAAGAATCATCACAAAGGCTTGTGGTTCGGACAGAGTCTGAACCAGCTCACTGTGATTGGCAATTAATTAGGAACAACCACATGAGACCAATCACAGATGCACCTGTTGCATTCAAAACAACAAAAAAACAATGGTTACAATTTGGTCCCGAAGCCTCCCAGATTCTCAGGAGGAAAAATCCTAAGGAAAGGATTTTTCATAAAAGATGTCTGTGACAGGTGACATCACAACAGGACATTGGTCCCCACAGCATCAGGGGAAGAAGGAAAATCCTGATTCTTGTGGTAACTGCTGTGTTTCCCTGCTGCTCTCAGCCCCCTGCATCAGTGTCTGTGTGCCCTGTCCCTAACCCTGGCTGAGGTGCCCTGTGAGGGGCAGCCCCGAGCCCACCCCCAGTCACAGCTTCACAAAGAGACAGGGCTGGGTTGTCACCATGGTATTTTCTGAAAAATCCCTTTGCCAGGATTTCTTCTCCAGGAAGCTGAGAAGCCTCCAAAAAGAATGAAAACAGTAATTATCTAATTGCTTGGAATGTGGTCTGGAGATCATTTACCAACAGGTGCATCTTTGATTGGTTTCATGTGAGTTGCTTTAATTAAATGACCAATCACCATCAGCTGTGTCGGACTCTCTGAGTCAGTCATGAGCTTTTGATTATCACTCTTGTTAAGCCTTCTGATGTATCCTTTCTCTTTTTCTTTAGTACAGTTTTAGTATAACATAAAAATAAATAAATAAATAAATAACATAAAAATAATAAATATAAAAATAATAAATATAAAAATATAAATAATATATCATATCTCATGTCAGCCTTCTGAGAACATGGAGTCAAGATTCTCGTCTCTTCCCTGGTCCTGGGAGCCCTGAGAACACCCCACAGCTGGGCACACTGCTGCCTTGTGCTCCAGCCCTGCTGGCCAGCACCCACAGGTGCCTCTGTGCAGCCCAGCTCTCGTCCTTCCCCAGCTCCCAGGTGGGACAGTGAGGAGCTGGGATGGCAGGGGGGCTGCACTGACACTCACTGCAGGTACCTGGTGCTACTGTAAAGAAAGGTGAAAAGACACAGCAAAGGAGGGTGGCAGTGTGCTTGCAAGAGAAAAATCAGTATTTTGTGCCTGGAGGCACCCCAGGAACAGCCCATCCAAACGACCCTGGAAAAGGGTTAATGGCCATGAACAGCCAAAGACATTCCAATTTCCTGTAATGAGTACAGCTGTAACAGAATTTCAGGCTTAGAGAGAAATTTCCCCCTTCAAAATTAAGCAATAGCTGTAGATAAAAGACACACCTGTCCCTTAAGAGAGGACAGGTACAGGCTCTTTAATAGCATCAAGCCAAGGTCAGGGTGGATAAACATGTTTTTTGTCACTAAACTGGCTGTAAGCAACGCAAGAATGCATCACACAAAACTGTTTTTTCCCCTCTGCTGTGGCATTAACCACAGCACTCAATCATGTCAGTTACCAAACACAGATTTGAGTTTCCCCCAGCACAACTGCAAGCCAAGGAGAAAAACTGCACGTTATACATTTAACTTCCTATAAAGTACAACTTGTGCTTATTTGCTGCCTTTTCCCCTCTAAAAGTTATGAAAAAAATTTTCCGAGAGGAATACAAAATAATCCATGGTACAACATTTGTTCCACTTATAAAGACATGAAGATGTTATTTATGTCTTCTGTAAGTCAGCGTACAAAACAGTATGAATACAGTAGAAGTTTTCTTTACATCATCAGTATGGTAACTTTTCAGGTGTAAATTTCAGCCTCCTGTTTCCAGAAGGGCTCAACTTCCAAACAGCATTTTTTTTTGAGAGCGTGAATTTGAATAAACCCTCCAAATGCTGACAACTTATGGAACGTGTACTCAGAAAACCCACTGCACAACTGCAAAGTATATTAAAACGTGTAAAAATACAAATAATTTAAGGCTGACAACTGCTAATCTCTCTGGTCTCTTTCAAGCTGATTGCAGTCCTTTATTTCCCTCTGGTGACCGCCCTCAGGCAGTGTCACGGCTCAGGAGAGGCAGGAAGGGGCTCGGGCCGGCCCTGCAGAGCAGGAGGGCTCCG